GGGTTGGGGGTGTAGCCTAGTGGTGGAACACTTGTTTAGCATGTGTGAGGTCCTGGATTCAGTCCCAGTAGGGGGAGATACAGATATAAAGAAAAAGAATATATGTGTGTATATATATTACATATATAAATAAAAATATATACTATACATAGAATATATGTAAAGAAAAAGAAAAATGGTATGTTTGTTAACTATACAAGCCTGGTCATTTAAAACTGGTATTTGATTTACAATGATTAAGAGATATTTACTGTTTATAGCAGAGTCAGGATTTGAACTCAGGCTGCCTAAGTCTAGAACCACCTCTTCACCTGTATACCACCTTATGCCTCAAGCTTAGGGTGTCAAATTATATTATTCAGAGAGTGTTAATTCTATATAGTCCCATAGTTTGTCAAAAATCTTTTTCTACTACAAAGAAGTATGAATTATGCAGCATATGTAAACCTAATTGCATTTTGTCAGTATGTTAGCCACTGTAGTTTAAATACTTTAATTATTAAAATTGATCAGTCATTAAATACTCATGAGGTGCTAGGTCATATTAGGGTAGGCTAGTGGTATTCAAAATATGTTTGGGAATATCTTGGAGTCAAATTATTTTTATAGTAATATTGACACTACAGTATTTTCCTTTCCCTTCTCTCATCTGAAATGTGCTGTGATATTTATGACACGTGAAAACGTTGCTTTGGTGATTAATGAATGTGTATTCTTTCTTTTCCCCTTTTGCTTTGAGGTATAATTTATAGTACCATATAATTCACCTTTTAAAAATATACAATTTGGGCTGGCAGTGTGGCTCAAGTGATAGTGTCTGCCTAACAAACACAAGGTCCCAACTTCAGACCCTAGTACAGCAAACAAACAAACAAACAATCCCCCCCCAAAAAAAATTTAGTGGGTTTTAGTATTATATTTAGTATTTTTATTTAATATTGTAGTTAGTATTTAGTATTTTTAGTACAAGATTGTATCACCATTACTTCCATTTAATTCAAGAATATTTTCATTATTCTAGAAAGAAACCCTATACCCATTAATATTTACTTGTCATTCCCAACTTTCCTAGGCTTTTGGCAACCTCTAAACTACTGTCTTTAGAAATTTACCTGTTCTGGAATTAACACCCTCTATATGCTACATTTTGAACACCCTAAGCTTGAGGCATGACATGAAATATTGGTGAAGAGCTATGATTGTAGACTCAGGCAGCCTGAATTCAAATCCTGGCTCTTCAAATTCCCACCTCTTAAAAGTTTTTATCCCCTCCCAGTTACACCTGGTTGGGGGAACTAATAAGCCTTTAACACTTGGATCTTTGGAGAGACATTTAAGATCCAAACTGTAGCATTCTACAAGCTCATGTTCATCTCACAATGTACAGTGTATTCTTCTAGTCCATCACCAAGAGTTCCCAGAGTCTTAGCTATTTCAGCATTGCTGAAAAGTCCAAGTTCAGGCCTGGGGGGTGTAGTTCAGTACTAGAGTAATTGCCTAACATATGCAAGGCTCTGGGTTTGATTCCTAGCACTACTGGAGGTAAAAATGTCCCAAAGTCTCCTGTGAGACTCAAGGCAAACCTGTAGGAAATCAGAAAAAAAGTTATATACTTCCAAGATATAATGGCACAGGGTAAATATTCTTATTTCAACAGGGAGGAATAGGAAAAGTAGCAAGAAGGGATGAGTACCAAAGCAAGATCAAAATCTGTCAGGGCAGACATTAGATCCTAAAACACCATGTCTGGCATTCTGAACATGTACTGCCTAACCTCTCAGACTTTCCTTTAAAATCTTGGAAGGCTCCATGATTCCATAATTCTTGCATTCTGTATGCCTGCAAAATCAATTTCATGTGGATAGTGCCAAAGTCTGCTCTAGTTTGATCTATACCCTGGCCTCCTTGAACCACCATGTGAATAGTCTCTAAGTGCCTTGCTGGTCTGGACATGAACCACTCAAGGAAACAAATCTTTGAGTAAGTAGGGCACTCAGGGATTTTATTTTCAAAAGGTTGTCCTGGAAATTCAAACAAATTTGCATTTCTATACCTTTGAGCCTAGATATGAAGTGGTTAGGATATGAAATGTCTCTGCCAAAAAGTTCATGTATTGACGACTTGATCCCTAGCTGGTGGTACTGTTGAGATGATTGGATAGGGAGGGTTCCAGTTTCATCAATAGGTTAATCTATTGATGAGTTCATATTGAATGGGCTGTTAGGTAGGGCCTGGTTGGAGGAAGTAGGTCATTGAGGGTGTCTTTGAAGGGTATCTCTTGTCCTGCCCTTCCTGTCTCTGTCTGCCTGAGTGCACATCTTCCTTCTGCTCCCTGGACACCATGAGATAGCGCTTGCTCTATTATGTCCTCTACACCATGATGCTCTGCCTCACCATAGCCTCAGTGATGGACTGACACCTTTGAGACTGTGAGCCCAAATAAATCTTTCCTCCTTTAAACTGTTCTTCTCAGGGGTTTGTCACAATGAAAAAGGCTGACTGACACAAGTAGTAATCTCCAGCAATTGCCACTGTCCTTGCTTTACCTTTTAAATGTGTTCCTTTTGTAGCCAAACTACAAGTTTTCCAAATCTTTCTGCTTTGTTTTTCTCTTTGCTTGTAGTTCTCACTGTTAATTTGGCTAGAAGTAGCCAGTAATACCCAGCCACTGCCTGGTGCTTTTGCTGCTTTTGAAATTTTCTCTACCACATTGGCTTAACACAGAGTCTGAAGGCCATGACAAAAATCAGCCCCCAATTTTTGCCACCATATAAACAAGGGTGCCCTCTAACTCAGTTGCCAATAAAGTCCTCATTTTCTATCAGTATAACTGTTATTGTTCACATTTCTATCAGCATTCTGGTGTTTTGAGCCACACCCAAGAATTGCCTAACTGTTAATCTCCACTTATAATACCCTAGATTTTCTCTAGCTTGATTCTTCAAACTTTTCCAGAGTACTCCTGCAAGACAGTTGCAAAAAGCTCTTCCATATCATCTCAGATATAGCAAAACAACCCTTACCACTTTTTAGTACCGATTTCTGTATTGATCAGCTTTCATTGAACCACTAGCTATCAAGTCCTCTGAATGGCTTGCTATGAGGAAATGGAATCCTTGAGTGAGTAGGGCACGTTTGGTTGTCATTATTGTAAGAAGTACTAAGATAATCAGTTATAAATAGAAAGGTTTTATTTTGGCTCAGTTTTGGATGGCCCTGTTGCTTTTTGGGTCCACCTGTAGTAGTATGTTCAAATGCTTATTCATGTCCAGAAGTTGAAAAGAAAAAGACAAAGTGGCTGGGGTCCCACTGTCCCCTTCAAGGGCATGCCTTCCAGTGACTGGAAGACTTTCTATTAGGCCCCATCTTCTTAAAAAATTCCCACCAACTCCCAATAGTGCCATTAACATGGCCTTTGGGGGACATTTAAGGTACAAACTTTAGCATATGGTAATCCTATTTTTAATTTTCGAGGAACCCCCATAGTGTTTTCCACATATGCTCTATCATTTGTCTATTCCTCACCAACAATACAAAAACATGTGCTACTATATTCTGTTTGGTTTTTGACCTCAATTTCTGGCTTATAACTCCCTCCTTAAGGGAAGGCCATCAAATAACTACAGTTTCTCTTCTTCAAGGTGGGGATAGCTCTGACCTTCTGTTACTTTTCAGTCTTAGAGCTGACAAATAAAGAAATTGACCCACCCTTGCCAGATAAAGGTCATAAGACTCCCCTCACTCCAGATGGAGCCTGCCTCATACCTTGGAGGAAGGAATGCTAAAAAATACCTGAGCAGACAGGCCTTGTTGATTTCTGTACCAGTCTGTTAACAAATCATCCAACACAATGAAGTCTTCATAAAGACCCCCAAACACAGAGGATTCATAGGCTTCCAGATAGCTGAACATGTGAGGTGCCTGAAGGGTGACATACTCAAGAGGGTACAGAAGCTCTGTGCCTCTTTTTCATCACTCACCCTGTGCATCTCCATTATATATGTTTTATTATAAATTTGATTAAGTGGTTTCTCTGAGTTCTGTGAGTCACGTCCGACAAATCTTATCAAACTCA